TGGAAGAGGGGGTGGAAAGAGTGTAAGAACCAGGAAGGGGGCGCTTGACCATATGGAAATAAAGAATCCTACAGGCACTTGGGACCCTTCTCATACAAACCTACAGCAGTGTTGTCAGCATGCACAGGACCATGCTAACTTAAGCAGATAAAAACCCAGCACAGAACTGTAAATGGGCAGGAGGCTCCAATCTTAGTTGAAGAGTTATTGGCAGCTGATTACTACTGGGTGAGGAAGAGCTGATCTTGAAGAGAGAGACTCTAAGATAAGCTGACTAAATGAACTTGCACTGAGGGACATCTAGGGACACTAACTTTACATGATAGGCCTTAACACAAATGACAGAATGTATGAATTCCAGTGGAGGGCTATAGAAAGGGGAAGACGGTATAAAGATGATTTTCTGTATGAAATACACAAAAATTCAATAAAAAATAATACTGGTTTCACAGGACCCCCCCCCCCAAAAGCTGAGGTCCTTGTGCTTATTAGGCAAGTGTTTCCTGTACCACTGAGCTACAGCCTCAGCCCCAGCATAAAATTATTTTTAAAGTGGTCATTTGTTCAAAAGCATGAGTGGCAGAGTCTGAGCTGTGATATTTGAGCACTACATGTTCACAGTTGGTGTTCAAATGGTATATGGCTGGTATGTCACTGTTAAAACAGATTCTACTTTCAGTTTTTCTTGCTATCATAGGAATTGGTATAAAATGACAAATAATTAGCTGGGCATTGTTCCATACACCTGTAATTCTAGTACTTAGGATGTAGAGATAGGAGAATTAAGAGTTGGGGATAACCTGGGCTACATAGTGAGACTGTCTCAAAAATACAAGAACTGGGAATGGAGCACATTGGTAGAGCACTTGCCTAATATGCACAAGGCCTTAGATTCTATTCCTAGCAGATCTCCCTAACCCCTCCAAAGGCAAAATAAAATCCTGTGCAGGTAAAAAGGTAGAGATTATTTTACTGTGTTGCTTTTTAAGAATACATGCATTGTGTTTGACTGTAAATAGAGGATGAGGAAGTAGACTGAGTTATTTACTCTTTCACTTTTGGCAGAAAATCCCAGTTCTTAGTGCCCAGTGTGTTTTATAGGCAGCTGTATAAGAACATTAGTTCTAATATTTTTATCCTAAGTGTCTCACCTATGTATGCTTACACAAATGATCTTCTAGGTATATAACCATGGGTTCTATATCAATAAAGCAGGATTGGAAATACATGCATGTCATACTGAACATATATAGACCCTTTCTTGTCATTTCTGTAATATGGCATGACTCTTTATATAGTATTTGAATTGTGCTGGGTATTACAAGTAATTTAGAGATAATTTGAAGCATATGGGAAGATATGTATAGGTTATGTGTCAACATTGTACAATTTTAGAGCAAGAAACTTGAGAATGCTATATTTTGGTAAAGATAGGAATGTGTCCTGGTGACATGTCCCCCATGGATACTACAGGTGCATTTTACTTCTAAGCATTTGTTAAATGAGTCTATTTCTTCAGGATAGTTTGATATTATCAGAGTATTTTAAATTAGTCAAGGTGGTTGTGATAAGATTCCTAAAATATAAGTGAATTTGGGTTAAATTTTTTTCAAGTATCAAAGCAAACTTCCTAAAATCATTAAAAACACAGTGCTGCTCTAAATTTTCTGTGACTTCACCTTTTTCTCTTTTCTGCTAGTGGTAGCTCTAACATGACAGAACCTTGCTAGAAATCAGCAGTAAGTCCTTTCTTTTTCGGACTTCACATCCGTCACCCATGCATGCACATGGTAGTGCTGTTGGAATCATGCTCGAAGGACTTGTCCTCGCTCTGCTTGCAGCGCTTTCTTCACCTTGACTTGGGCTCTGTGAACTGAACTGTCTTAGAAACTGCCTTTGCCATTTCATGCTTATGTCAGTCATTCAGTGAATATTCCCTTCAAACAGTAGCTAAAATGGCCTTTTCAGAAGTCTTTTGGGTTAGTTTTGTCTCGTAAATGAATTTGCTTAAATTGCAGAACTACTTGTGGGGGAGGAAATCAAGTCAAGGTGATAGAGAACAGATCTTGACAGCCCATTCCATCTCACTGAGCTCATGTTCTATACATGATACTGTTTCCCAGAATAATTAATGTTTAAATAAGATTGAAAATAAGTTCCTGAAGTAGTTTATGTTTTTCATTTTCACATTTTTATTACATATATGTATGCATGTATGTGTATTTGTGTATGTGTGTGTATGCATGTGCCACAGTGCACATGTGGAGACAGATATGACTCCCAAAAGATGTCCTCTCTTTCTACCATGTGGATCCTAGAAATTGAACTCGGATCATTCGGGCTTGGTAGCAGGCACGTTTAACACTCAGCCAACACACTGACCTGTGTTCTTTGTTTTTAAGTTTATACAAAAAGCAATATTTCATGGTTAACATGTAGGTTTTATTTTTCCTTCTTGTTTTTTTTAAATAATCTTTTACTTTATGTGTAAGTGTGTTGCCTGCATGTAAGTAGGTGCCCATGTGTTGTGCAGTGCCCTCAGAGGTCTGAACAGGGCATTGGACCCCCTGGAACTGGAGTTACAGACAGTTGTTAGCTGCCATGTGGGTGCTGGGAATTGAACCTGGGTCTTCTGCAGGAGCAGCCAGTGCTTCTAACCACTGAGCCATCTCTCTAGCCCCTCCTTGTTTTTTGAGGCAGTCTCACTGTATAGCCCAGGCTGGATTGGAATTCATGATCTTCTCAGACCTTATATCCTAGTGTTGGGCTTATAGATAAGCACCACTATGCCTGACTCCGATCTGTATTCTTCCCTTTCTTCCTCCCTCCCTCCTTCCCTCCTTCCCTTTCTCTTTTTGAGACAGGGGCCTTATATCCCAGATTGGCCTCAAACCAACTGTGTGACTGAGAATGACCTTGAAGTTCTGGTCCTTCTGCCTCCACCTCCCTACTGCTGGGTTACTGGAGTGTGCCTCTATGCTCATGCTGTGGTGTGTGCTGGATCGAACCTAGGGCTTCCTGCATACTAGGCAAGCACTAATTGGTAGGAAGTGAGGCATGCATAAGACAAAAATCTAATTTCAATATTGAGACTTCTTAATTTCACTTAAAAATTACAGTTTTTAGTTTTCCTCCAAAGCAAAGTACTGCTTAAGAATACAGACTCAAGGGAACTGGTGATGCAGCTCACTGGCCGGGCACATGTTTACAAAAAAGATGGTTTGAATACTGGGTAGGTCCCGGTACAGTCTTTCTGATAAATGTATTTGCTAATGAGTAAATCCCTTTAGCCTTTTGTATCTTTTCTTCAGTTAAAAAAACTAGTTATTTTGTTTGTTTAAACCTTAGTTTTTCCTTTCCTTTGGAGATTTTAAAGATTGAACTTGAGAGTTTTCACATGCTTGGCAAGCTCTTTGCTAACTCCCTAGCCCCTTTAAATCTCTTATTTTTTTAGGAAGTTAACTGGAAAATTTTGTTTAAATTGATATTCAGTGGTCTGACTCTGAAACATAGTATGTATATATAACCTAAATTTTAATCAGTTAAATTGTCTTCCTCCTCAGATAAATTTTAGAATATGCATGCTTTTTTATTTCTTTCAGAATATTTTTCTATTATCTATGGATTTAAATCAAGCTAGAGAATTCTGTTTTTAGTTAATACTCACTAAAAATCAAGAGATTTAAAGCATTCTAAAAAATGTTTTCAACCCTATATTACAACAGCAGGCATACATAATACAACATAACAGCACTGCAGTAATTACTTTTCTCCTTGCTGTGACCAAATACCCGACAAAAGTAACCAAAGGGCAAACATGCTTATTTTGGCTCACAGTGGGAGGGTACCATCCATCTTTTGGGGAACGCATGGTGGTGGTGCCATCAGGTGACTGGCATTATGTTTGCAATCAGGAAGCAGAAGAATGAAGGCTGGTACTCACTTGACTTCCTTCTTTTTCCTTTTCTTCCTTCTGGGCCCCCAGACTGAACATGGAAGGTGCTACTCATGTTCCAGGAACTTAAACCTCTCTGGAGCACTCTCACAGACTCCCGGAGAGGTGTGATCTTATCCAGCCAGGTTGACAGGAAGACTAAACATACAATCACTGTTGTATTATAGTCACTGAAAAACATTCTTGGATTTACCACAAGTCAGTCACTTGTTAGTTTTTAAATTTGTGTCTTCCATTTTTGCCTCACAAAATCTTTTCAGGAAACAGTGATATCTTCATTGTTTGTTTGTTTTCTGGGATAGAACTCAGGGCCTTGAGGATGTTAGTGAGACAAGTGCCCTATCACTGAGCTACATCCCCAGCCCCAAATCAGTAACTTTCTTTGCTTAGAATCTTTTTTTTTTGAGACGTAGCCTTGGCTGACCTCTTACAGAGATCTGTCTTCTCTCTGCCTGCCTCTGCTTCCCAGGTCCTGGGATTAAAGGCTTGTGCTACCATACGTGGCCCTAAAATTTTTTCTTAAGCTTTTGGGATGAATGGAATAAAAATTTTTTTGAAGAAAGTTAAATTATAATCTTGTTACCCAGAGTCCGGCAGGATATAATAGGACTAGAGAGCCATTTCATAGAGGCCTGCAATGGAGCTGCTGAAATACCACAGTGTATTAATGCCAGAACAGTGATACCATTTTTGTTGTTGTTATTTAGTGTGTGTTTGTGTACACATATGTATGTTGTGTATGTGAGCGTGCATGTGTATGCTACAGCATACTTGTGGAGGTCAGAGGACAATTTCCGTTGTGTGTGTAGGGGGGGCATGTGTGAGCATGCATGTGCATGTTTTGGCATACTTATGGAAGTCCGAGGACAACTTCCAAGAGGTTCTCCCCCTTCACCATGTGGGTCCTGAGGAATGAACAGATCATCAGGCTAAGCAGAAAGTGCCTTTACCTCCTGAGCTACCTCGATGGCCCTGATATGAATAAAAAAAGTTTTACTCTTAACAGTTTGCCAAATAAAAGACCTTTTCTCTTTGTAACTTACAGCTTACCAGCCATGCAGCAGAATGGAGTCCTAAGCACCCAGGAGAGGATGTGGTGGCATCTTTTGCTGATGTTGGATGGGTAGCTACAGAAGAAGGAGAGTGCTCAACAAGATGCAGGTTAGATTGGAAGGCTTCCAGGGCTTAGTTGCTACATCCATCATTTTAAATATTTATTCTTTTTTTTTATTTTATGTGTATGAGTGTATTGCCTGTAAGTAAGTGAGTGCGCCCGTGTCGTGCAATGCCATGGAGGTCAGAAGAAGGCTTCGTATTCCCCTGGAACTGGAGTTAAGGATGGTTCGTAGCCACCATGTGGGTGCTGGGAATTGAACCTGGGTCCTCTGCAAGAGCAGTCAATGCTCTTAACCACTGAGCCATCTCTCTAGCCCCTACATCCATCATTTTAAAGGCTATATTTGAATACTTGATTTTAAGAGACTGATTTGATCTGTTGTAACTAGCTCTGCCCCCCTTCTCCCTTTTTCATGAGCAGTCTTGGTTTATTTTTAACAATCGGTATTGATACATATAGTCATGTCCTAAGTACTTATGAATCACAGAATTCCCTGCCATTCAGAAGGTTACATTCTAGTATAAGGGACCAGAAAGAACTCTTGGTGATTACAGTAGTTTTATTGGGACACAGGGATCCATCCCATGATAGAGAATTTATGTACCTGGAGAATGTTCTCTAAAAATTGAATCAGGAGTTGAGGTTAAAGGAAACAAACTATTAAGTGTTAAGAGAGATGCTTCCATTTATTTGAAACCTTATATAGAATATTCACTATGCATTCAATGTAATAAAGTTATTCAGTATATATTCTTCATTCTTTATAGACATCAGAGATAAGACACAGCTTAAGTCCTAGAAATACTTGATATACTGGAGATTGGAAGGGAAATCAATGTTAATGATATTGAATAGTCTACTTAGCAATTAGAGAAAGCTACTGTAGGGATGAGAGAAATTCAGCTTAGCTTCTTGAGAAAGGAATGCCAGAGTTGAGTTTTGAAGGGTCAGCAAGAGCCAGGCAAAGGGATAAAGAGCAAAGAACTTGTTTAAAGGTACATCCAAAGACCAGATGGCACATGTGAGCAATGCTGATGACTCAACAAAATGAGAGAGTTGCCAAGAAGAGTGAGCTATAGAAGGTGAGGATATGGGGTAGATGGAAGCTTAGAGCTTGTCACACCAAGAAATTGAGACCTTTCCTTGAAATACAAGCACTAGGGCCCAGGACCCAAGTACAAAGCTGGGTATAAGTGTTAAGTATTTTTAACCTCAACACTGGGGAGGAGGGGCAGAGATACCTGGCAGATCCTGGGAGCTGGCTGACCAGCAGCCTAGCCAAAAATCAAGCTTCTAGTTCATTGAGAGACCCTAACTCAAGGCAGTAAGGGCAGAGGCAGTAGAGGGAGATACTCAACATCCTCTGGCCTCCTCATATTTGTGCATGGGCGTACACCTGCACATCTATGCGCATGTACCACACATATACCACATATAATACACACAAAAAAATACAATCACTATAGTAATGTGATTAGATTTGTATTTTAATAAAATTAATCTATAAATAGTAAAGACAAGGAGATAGACCACATAAGAGGTGATCAGAATTTGACTAAATTAAGAGAACTGGCAGAGGACTGGAGAGATGACTCAGTAGTTAAGAACATTGGCTGGTCTTCCAGAGTACCCAGGTTCAATTCCCAGCACCCACATGATGGCTAACAACCATCTGTAACTCCAGTTTCAGGGGATCTAATGTCGCCTTCTGACCTCCATGGGCATTGCATAACACAGGTTCACCTACCTCCATGCAAGCAATACACACATGTACTCATACACATTACAAAAAACAAAAATTGGCAGAATAGCTGGGCCTGGTGGCACAGGCCTGTAATTCAAGCTACTTGGGAGGTGAGGCAAGAAGATTATAAGTTAAGGCCTGCACTAGCTACAGAGCAAGTTCAAGGCAGCCTGGAAAACTTAGCCATAACCTGTATCAAGAGTGAGAAATAAAAAGGGCTAGGGCTGTAGCTCGGGGGTAGAGTATGTGTCTTCCGTGAACCAGGCTCTATTTTAAATCTCTAGTACTACAAAAAAAGAGAAAAAAAAAAACCCAAATTAGTGGAAGAGGGTCAAGCCACAGACTCAGGAATTTGATAGGACATAAAAACTTCCAACATACAGAAGTTAGGAAGGAAGAGTCTGGAATAACTCTGATTTATTGGGATTATTGGACCAATTAATAGGAATATGGGAAAACATTTAATTCCTTGTTGGTGGGTAGAAATAGTGTGGGAGAGTCCACTCTGAAATATGTCTAGCTTTCTATGGAAAGATCACATTGATCTAGAGAGAGTTTCTGTAAATAAATACTTGCACTCTGTGACACAGCTAAAATAGTGGAAAATTCAAGTGTTTAAGGAAGGCAGGTCTTGATGTACAGTCCAGTCTGGCCTCTTATCTTGTGATTTTCCTGCTTCAGCTTCCTAAGTATTAGGATGATGGGTGTGTTGTCACCATGCCTAGCTACAGTATATTTTTATACCTTTCTGGATTGGCAAATGGATGAGGTAAAATAACTTATTCCAGGTACAGTGTTAATAAAGCTTTGAATATCTATCTATCTATCTATCTATCTATCTATCTATCTATCTATCTATATATATATTTGTTTTTCTGTTTTGGGACAGGGTCTCCCTGTAGCCCCAGCTGTCCTAGAACTCACTAGGTAGACCAGGTTGGCCTCGAATTCACAGAGACTTCTGCCTCCTGAGTTCTGGGATTAAAGGTGTGTACCATCAGGCCCAGCTGACATTGAGCTAATTTAAAACTATCTCAGATTTTTGAGAGAGGAAAGGATCCCAGAAGTGTATTACATTTAACTTAGAGGGTTCTGTTTTGTTTACATTTACTTATTGTGTGTGTGTGTGTGTGTGTGTGTGTGTGTGTGTGTGTGTGTATTTATGCAAGCATTCACATGCCATGGCACACATGTAGAAAAGGGGAACTTGAGGGAGTGGGCTCTCTCCTAACACCATGAGAGCTTTGGAGATGTAGACCAGGCTGGCCTCAATCTCACAGAGATCTGCCTGCCTCTGCCTCTTGAGTGCTGAGATTAAAGGCATGCATCACCACACCTGGCTCATATTTTTCTTGCCAGATAGTTTATGTTCTAGCTCAAAGACACCTAAGTGGAGCTGGTCTGGAGGTGATAGAGGCTCTACAGTGTCATGGATCCAGCCAGGCTTTCTTCCATCTGTACTACGGCCTGCCTGTTATAATACCTGTATCACTTTACATTCTAGACTGACTTGAGTATGAAGAGAATGAAGTCTAATAGCCCTAGATGGCACACTAACATCTGCTGTAGTTTTATTAGCCTTGTCAGTCACTTGTTCCCCCAAACTGCAAGAGAAACTGGGAAATACAGTCCTTAAGCTGGGCACAATGCAAAGAAGGTTGCCTTTATTCCTGCTCTTCTGAGTAGTATAGATTGACCTCCAACTCTGTAGTCTAGGCTGCTTTGAAATTGTGATCTTTTCTGCAAGGAATTATTGCTTCCTGTAGTGTTCCCAATAGAAAAAGGGTCTAAAGTGAGTTCAGGGAGCATGTTTTTGAGTCTGCAGGTTTTTGCAAAGTGGGTTGTCCTAGTTTGTTCATTACTGTGACAAAACACTCTGACCATTACCAACTTGGGGAGGAAATGGTTTATTTATCTTACATCTCCTGGGTCACAGTTCATCAGGGAGCCCAAGGTAGGATCTCAGGGCAGGAACCTGGAGGCAGGAGCTGGAGCACAGGCCATGGAGGAATGCTGCTTACTGGCTTGCTCCCCTAGCCCCTGCTCAGCCTGATTTCTTACGCAACACAAGCCTACCTGCCCAGGGGTTGGCACCACCCACAGCGGGCTGGGCCCTCCCACATCACTCATCAAAAAGATGCCCCTCAGACATGGCCATAGGCCAGTCCAATAGAGGCAGGTCCCCAATTGAGGCTCCCTCAACCCATGTGTGTCAAGTCAACACTAAAGCTATCCAGCACATGGGTCTAAGGGAGAAATGAGACTAATGATCCTTTTTTCTCCCTTTAAGCCAGTGATAGTGTTGGTGTGTAGTTATGTAATGTTGGTGACTGCTTTGCTGCTTCTGATACTAATTGGGGGGGGTGTATCTGATAGCAGCCTAGACATTGGTTTGTGGGTATTATGTTCTAGCACTCTGGTAATGTGTGGTGATGCTTTCTTGTGGCTCCTTACAACTGTGACAGCCACCTTTATATTGTCTTTATAGGGCAGAGGTCAGATCCAAGCCTTCCCTTCAGGATGACCTTCCTTGTTTTGAGACGCCCCCAAGCAGGCACATCTCCTTACCAAACTTGTCTCAAGAAGAGCCTCCTCTGAAGACACTGGCCAACGAAGAAGCCCTGCAGAAAATCTCTGCACTTGAAAATGAACTCGCTGCCCTTAGAGCACAAATTGCCAAAATTGTGACCCTACAGGAGCAACAGAGTCTCAGTACAGGTATGTTAGCCCTACATTTGTTTTAATTGGTCAACTGGAAGGTAGGAGTATGCCATTTAGTTGATGATTCATTGGTATGTAACAATTCTTGAGGTTGTCGGAGAGCTGTGTGTCAGTCCTATGCCAGTCTCTCTAGTGCAGAGCCCATGTGTGGATGGTTTTTTGGTATTTGAGATGACAATGAAGAAATGTATTTGGAAAACACCAAAATTCAGGGATTTGAAATGCTGCTGTTGGGAATGATTTCCTTATTGAAAACTTAGCTATCAGTACTTATATCACCTCTCTAAGTTATGAGGGCATCATGTGGATTTCTGTCCAGTAAAAGGGATCAGTTTCTGGCTGGGACTTGGGCCACTATCTTCATGGCCTGAGGTAAGCACCTGATGTTATTTCACCTCCCTTTCCTGCTCTAAATTGGACATAATAGTCCCTGTGATAGCAAACCATGTTGAGTAAGTATGGAAAGTTTATGAAACACATACAGCAGCTACTTAATGGCAGTTCTCTTCCCCTGCCCAGCATAGAAACTAAATTTTGAAGAATATTGATCTAATACTATTGCTTTAATTAGTGTAGCACTGCTTCTTCTATGGAGAAAAAAAAACAGGTCCTTGAAATCCTAGCCTGTTAACCTGTTGGCAAGTACTGGTAGTGATTCCATTGTTCCAAAGTCCTGGCTAGACTGTATTACCCAACTCTGTTGAAAAAGATAAGGTCAGTGAATTAACAGTGTGCCTCTGAATATTTTGTTCATGCCTTCATGGAGACCCCATCCAGCCTAGTGTATGGCTAAAGCGGCTTTGGGTATTGGGTACTGGAAAGGTGAAGGACATTCTTTTAGGGACTTTGCAGAGACAAGTCTTGACTTCTTTAACTTTGAACTGTATTCTTTTCTTTTACCTCCATCTGCTGGTAGACTAGGTAAACTAGTGTAAATAGGGAGATAATTTAGCAGTTTGTTTAGATGTCCTATTTATAGTCTGAATATTTTGAATAGAACACTTGACTCATTACTGTTTCCCCCATGCCCTCATCAGTGTAGTTCTGCAACAGAGAATGCTACCTTTTAACAGGCAGAAAGATGAATTTTGGGTATTATAATTTCCTTAACTCTTTCTATTTGAAAATTAAGTGTGATAAGGTTTTTCCTATGTAGCGTGGGCTGGCCTGGAATTTGCTGTATAGACCAAGTTGGCCTTAAACTTGCTGTGATCCTCCTGCCTGTCCTCCCAAGTGCTGGGATTATAGGTTTGTGCTAATGTACACAGCTAATACAAGTGTTATTTTTTTTAATATAATAGTAATAAATTTTTCAGCTGTCTGTATTAAAGACTGATATTTATGAGTGTAGACTGCTTTATATTCCACTAAGAGTCATGCCTTGTGCCATGAACAGAAACGTTTGGCACCTCAAAAATAACCTTGCTGGGGGCTAGAGAGATGGCTTAATAGTTAAGAACACTTACTGCTCTTCTGGAGAATCTGAATTTGGTTCTCAGCTCCACATGGGACAGATCACAGCTGCCTGTAACTCCAGCTCCAGGGACTCCACACGTGTATGAACACACACACACACACACACACACACACACACACATACACACACACACACACAATGCAATAACACCCTTGTTAAGCTGAATAAAACTTTTACATTGGGTGAATTGGGTTCAGTGGCACAGTAGCTCAGCTTCAGGCATTTTTAAAAATTTTTTTAGGGTAATTAGACCACATTCTCCTTATATAACTGAGATTTCTTTTTAAGGATGTTGGTTTATGAATACATAAGTCAGTGATATAATTTTGCTTTAAAAAGTGAAGTTTGGGCCAGGCGTGATGGTGCACGCCTTTAATCCCAGCACTCAGGAGGCAGAGGCAGTCCGTGAGTTCAACCAGCCTGGTATAAAGGCCCCGCTTTGCAGAAGTCTGAGAGGAAGTTACTGGGGTGCAGTCTGACTTGCTTTGAAAGTCTGAAGAATACTTCTGCACTGCTGAGGAGTGCATGATCTGCACGTGACCATCCTTAAGATACACCCTCGGCAGGGAGGGGGGATTTCCAGGTGCCTTTACAAGCTCTGTAACACCTACAGTAAATGAGACCCTGCTTGACTAGGCTCCCCGTTATGCCTGAGTGTTCCCAGTACCGGTGGTGGCATGGGCTGGCAAACAGCATGCTTATTCATCCCCAGTGGTCACTGGCCAGGGGTCGCTGGTACAAACCCCCTAGCAACTGGCACTCAGCATGGCGCTCGAAGGAAGGTGAAAAGAAGAAAAGAAAGAAGAAAGAAGAAAAACGGATTGGGGCCAATTGAGAAGTTCGGGGTAAGCAAGACCTGGAAAGATGGGTAATGCAAGTTTTAAGTCTGAGGACCCGGCACTTAAAGTGATGAGAGATATGCTCAAAAGCAGGGGACTGGATCTGTCAGATCCAGTAGCTCAAAAGATTTGGGAAGAGGTGATTCATTTGGCTCCCTGGCTACTTGGGGCTAACGTTTTTACTGGGGATACATGGGAATCATGGGAAGAGTTTGAGGAAGAAGGCAGAAATGCAACACAAGTGAAACCAAAAGTGGTCAAAGTAACAAGCAGCACCTCAGGCATATGTACCCTGGGCAGCTTCAGAACCCCCCGGGACCCATGAAAACAGGACCAATGGATGCCTTTTTTAGAAGGGCAGGGTGGAGTGGAGTGCACGGGGTTGGCAGCAGAAGCTGCCCACCCTACCTGCCTTGAACTAATGCGTGCATGAGTCAGGGGCCGACTGCCTCTGGCCAGTGACTACCATGGGTCAGGGGCTCAAGTGAAAGCCAGGGGGGGACCACCCCTCGGCTGGTGGCTGGCGGCGGCCGGCGGGAGCATTTAAAAAAACAAAAAAAAAAAAAAAAAAAAAGTTAGAAAGGTTCTGTAAGTACTGGACTTTACCAAGAGCAACGCCCCAAAGGTCAAAAACAGAATATTTACTGGTGAAGTTCTCTTTGCCTATTACCAGAGGATGTTTATGTTTGTTTTTTCTGTAGGTAACTTAGGTTCTGCCACATGTGTTACCATAGCACCACCTCCTCCTCCACCACCTCCGCCCCCACCTCCCCCTCCACTTGAGCTCCACCAAGGTATGTCTGCTATTGATCTCATTAAGGAGCGAAGACAGCAGAAACTCAATGTTGGAAAGATTTCAGCTAAGAATAACCCAAAGAAGCCCGACATGCCAAATATGCTAGAGATCCTTAAAGATATGAACAGTGTAAAGCTTCGGTCAGTCAAGAGGTGAGGATGCCTTTGCCTGCTTGCTTGCTTCTCCATTTGTCTGGTAAAACCAAAGTACTAAGCTTAGAGATTGTTTATAACATGAATGCCATGAATAATTTTTACTTCAAGAAAGGTAGATTCCAGCAGCTCCTCCTATACTTAACAGCTAAGGCATTAGCAAAATAAGCAGTTACACTCTAGAAGGTTTTCTCATTTAGGCATCATCTTCTCATGTAAACTTTTTTAAATTACATTTGTGTGCATGTGTGGGTCAGAGGACAGCTTGTGGGGAGTTGGTTCATTGGTTCTTGTCTTCCATCATGTGAATCCTGAAGCTCTAACTTAAGTCTTCAGGCTTGGCAGCAAGTGCCTTTACCAGCTGAGCCTTCTGTGGCCCTCATGTAAATTCTTACCCAGGGGCCATGCTAATCTCTGCATCATTCCAATTTTATTATATAGGCTGCTGAAGTGAGACTCGAGTAAATTCTTTATTATGACTACTTATTCATTCGATGGAGGTATGCTATGCACCCTCTCCTGTAGGCACTGGACACATGTGAAAGATGCAGGTGACTGCCCTGAAGGAGAGCACAGTGTCGCACTACGTGGCTCTTGATCTGACTGTGTGTGTGGTCATGCTGAGCTTTAGGTCTGGGTTTCCTTCTCACTGCTAGCAGTGCTTGTTAGTGTCATCAACTGTGATGTCCAAGAAACACTTTTTGGCCGCAGAGTGCTTATGTGACAGACATTGGCTTTTGTTTCCTTCTCAAAGGTCAGAGAAAGATGTAAAGCCCAGGCCAGTGGATGCTACTGACCCTGCTGCCCTCATAGCAGAGGCTCTGAAAAAGAAGTTTGCTCATCGCTATCAAAGCAATAGTAATAGCCAAGGTGATGCTGAAAGAGGAATTCCAAAGCTGGACTCAGAGGCAACCTCAGAAACAGCTCTGGTGAGTATTAATGCTCTTTCTTCTTAGGTGGTAATTCATTTGCCTGCTACTCAGCTGTGCCCTGCTGCAGGATTCAGTAGGATGCTGCATAGAATCTGTTCATGCTCTTTATATAGATTGTAGCTAGTTGGGAAAGGGTGATGGTTTTGTTTGCTTCAGATAGGGTCCCATGTAATCCAGAGTGGACTTGAACTTCCAGACTGTAGCCAAGGCTGGCTTAATCCTGATCTTACTACCTCCACTTCCCAAGTGCTAGGATTAGAGTAGCTGTGCCACCCTACATGGCAAGGATATCTTTGTTTATATTCCTATTTCTTTCACTGTAAAAGCAAGTTGTTCATTTGAAGATTCAAAACTTACAGAAAAGCTAGAGGAAAGCAAAAGCTCTGATTTCATTGCATAGTAGTGTCCAATGTTAAAATTTCCCTGCAATGTTGTATTTGTATTTAAGCATAATGAAGTGAAAATCAGTTTAATAAAATTTTTATCTTATGGCAATGTATGTGTAGTATTTGAATTCAAAGTAAAAAATTTTACTCACTGGGCATGGTGGCACATGGCTTTAGTCCCAGCGCTCAGCAGAGGCAAGCAGATCTTTTGAGAGTTTGAAGCCAGCCTCGTCTACATAGCGAGTTCCAGGCCAGGTAGGGCTACATAATGAGAGATCTGGTCCCCCCAAAATAAAAAGTTTTACTCAAAGCAGGATCATTTTTTCACAGGGCACCCTGTGAATGTTGTCCAGAGAGGGCGAGTTCTGATGTGGGCTTGACAGATGTGTGCATGTCTAAGACAGAGACTGAGCAAACTTCATAGAACTCAGATGCTAATTCCTTTCTCCTTGTTGCTTTCATAGGAGATATGTACTTGTTAAAAACAGATGTATCAGATTACTATTAGAGGAACCAGTATCTATCTTTATATGCTTTGTTTTTTCCTTTTCAGTTTGGCCCACATATATTGAAGTCTACTGGGAAAATGAAGGCGTTAATTGAAAATGTTCCAGACTCTTAATGGACAATGAGCTCAGAAAGACTCCTGGTTTACCTGTTGACTTGCGAGAGCTGAGTCTGGATAGTAGCAATCAACAGTACTTAGTAAATACCTGACTTTAACACTCAGTGGTCTCCTTGTTAGCCTTGTTAGAAGACTAAGCAGTAGTGAAGGCACCCAATGCTTGGTTTGCTTCTATGAGATGGCCAGTTCTGCAGTTCTGCTTAACACACATATTTAATCGGTAGCCAGGGTTTGTTTCCAACCTTGAAAATACTTCCACAACATGGAAACAGTATTTGTGGAAGTTACTGTACATTTTCAATTCTTAACTAATTTATCTGTGCAAAGGTTTTATATGGGTATATTTGGACACAAAAGTTTATGTAAAAATTCATAATGACATCAGTGAGGGGGCTGTCATCTTCATTGATCACTTACTGTTCAATGACGAACAACTGGTATAGCTTGTATTGAAGTAAAATATTGGAGATGGGAATGCCTTGCACAGGACTCATACATGTCCTCATGTTTTTTGGAGCCGAGTTTACATAAGAAGCAGTGTGTACTGCTGATCTCCATGTTGCTTTCTGTTAGAGGGAAAGTGAGGAGCGGGAATACTGCCCACACCTCATTGTCACAAGTAAAAGCCAGAATGTATCATCTTTCTTTTCAGTTTAATAAATGGCCTCATAAAGATGACTTGTTACTAGGTTAACAGTACTTCTAGTAATGTTAGCATAATAGGGTTTAAACATTCTTTAAATATTGGTCAAAAGGTCCTTTATAATGAGACATTACTGAAAAGGCAAGTAAATTTCCTTTAAGTTATTGACCATTGGTCAGCCGATGAATGACATTATGCAGTATAAACTTTAGGTGCTATTAGAAAGTAGAATCCGGTCTTTCTCATCTTGGACATCTCATGGAAGGACTTGTTAGATTCATTTTCAAGTGCTTACTAAGTTTTCATGATTTTCTCTTTCTGATAAACTCCAGTGTCATTAATGCCAGACTCTCTACTGTGTATTTGGATTATTTAAATCTAGAAAATAGTTTCTCCTGGGAGAATTAAGGGATGGGAAATGTAGATCTTTTTAAGTTATTTGAAAATTTGTGCTCGAAACATTAACACAAATTGAGCTATTTTTTTCATAGTTCACTCAGTTTAAATTGTGGTACGTTGCTTGATGCATATTGTTTCAAAACGTTTTATATGGTTTGAAAACTCTGCCTTTTCAGAAATTCAGAAAATTTGCCTGAGATATGTTTTGACCTAAGAAATTTATATTTGTATCAGTACTGAATTTTGGCTAGTGCTCCAATATATGAAAGTTACTATTTTAAAATAAAGCAAACTGTTGAATTTTCCTTTGGCTATACTATTAGTCTATTTATACATCTTACCTCTCTTCCTTTTTTCCAGTAGCTAAAATTATTTATGCTGCATTTGTTTCTGTAGGATAACTTCTTAGTGCATTTTAAGTGGAGGTTTACTCGTTAATGTATCACTGTCTTCCACCTTCTATCTTAGAGGGGTACTGGCTGCAACACAGAAAGCCATTCCAGGAGGTAGCTGAGGTCTCCTGGGTTCTCAGACCCAGGGTGGGGAAGACCTCTCTCCTACCTTCTTCCACATATCTCATTCAGTTTATGTGCTCCCAGTTAACATATTAACAGAAGTAAGAGTTCTTAAAAATAGCTGAACTCTACATTTTAAAGCTGAGCTCAGCAGGGAGGAAAAGTTTTGTCTACTATAAAAGTCATAGTCTAGTGATACTCATTTCAGAGAGAAAAAATGTCAGAGAGCACTGAACTTGGAGCCTTGTGTGATCCTGGCCAAGTGACATCATTTTATTCAGTAGCTCAAAAAATTCTTGAAGATTAAATGGAATCATGGTTTTAGACACATTCTATGGATAGGTGCTGTCACTATGTTACTTAATTTTTTTTAGATTTACTTTTATGTGCATGAGTGTTTTGCCTACATGTATGTAAGCACACTACATTCATGCAGTGCCCACAGAGACCAGAAGAGGGTGTCAGATCCCCTGGAACTAGAATTACAGATGGTTGTCAGCTGCCATTGGTGTGCTGGAACCAAACTGGGAATCCTCTGGAAGAGCAGGAAGTGCTTTTAACCCGAGCCATCCCTCCAGTCCCCTGATGCCTTACTTTAGACAAAGAGTATTGTTTCCAGTAGAATTATTTCTCATAGGTCACCCCCACTTGCAGAGACTAGGCTGTGAGGGGTAGGAGGGCCTCCAGTCTCCAGTTCTGGTTGTTTCTGCAGTCATAGGCCTTTCTGCATAAGGTGCACATCTTGTTGCTACTAATTCGTTTGAATGTGTCTCATTGGTGAAGAAGAAGAAGAAATGAGGTAAAAGCTATGAGAACAAACACTGGAAATCTTTACTTTGGTAACCTCTTCAAGCATAGTCCTCTTCATGGGTAGAATGGCAGATAAAAGTTTAAACTTTTGGGCTGGGCGTGGTGGCACACACCTTTAATCCCAGCAGTTGGGAGGCAGAGGCAGGAGGATCTCTGTGAGTTCAAGGCCAACCTGGTCTACATAGCAAGTTCCAGGACACCTGGGGCTACAGGGAGACCCTGTCTCAAAAAGACCAAAAAAAAAAAAAAAAATTTTAAACTTTTAGGTACAGTTTTTTTGTGAACCATTAAACT